TTGTCGCAAATTTTTGCTTCAGAGAAAGATTTGTGCAGATTTACTTTACGAATATTGTTATCACTATGGCTCATTATTTCTTGCTATTTAGGGATTCTTATTATTATGGTTCAATACCATCTAGTGTCTGTAAAGCAATTTGTACCTCCTTTCTCACACTTTTCGTCCATAATTAGTGTTGCTTCTTTTTTCAACCTCATTGACTGTGCCTCTTTCCTGACTTTTCGAGAATTCTGCTACATTCATTAATGACAGTAGTGTTTTTAAAACTAAGATAGAAAATGAAGAAAATGAAGAAGAGGAGAACGAAGTGAAAAACGGGAAGGGGAGTATTAAAATATCTGTAATTGGCAAGAAATTTTTCGGTCCATTAAGTTCGTTTTTTTCAGAATGGGGTACAAGGTAAAGTGAGGAATGAGGATAATGAAACGATATGCTGATGTAATGGCCTATAGTGCTGGTTCTTACCTGAGTAGTCGAAGAACGATAATACCTGTTGTTGGAGAAATTTATAGTCTTACAACTCGATACCCTAGTAATTTGAAATTCGCTTTTATACACAGTTTTCCCTCGAAATTGAAAACTGGGGGAGGGGGCAGAGTCTTTGCAGTGCTGATAATAACTGCTCATCAGTTAGGCTGCGAACTTCCGCCTGTATCAAAAGAACACTTACTTTCTACTTGGGTCAGCTGCTGCTTTATCGTTGCTTCCGTCCGGGACAGTGAAATAGGAAACGAGTGAGAAGGCCAGAAAAATCAAAGTAACTTTGTCTGGGTGGTTGAAGGGCACAGTACTGCTCGTTTCTCTTAAAAGTCGAAAAAGACCTAAAATAGAATGATCCTAAATCATCCAATCTTTTCATGGAACAATGACTGCACATCATTCAGGCTTTCCATTTTAATTGTCATCATTATCGCCAACTATATAAATTGTTTGTGTAAGTCGATATTGATATACACTAACACTCATTACTGGTTCAGAGAATTTAACTATTTGTGGGAATTTCGAATATGCGACAAATAAAAGTAACCGTCCTTACTGTTGTTGTTGTTTCAGTAATAATTTCCGGGAATAAGTTATATGACGCTTTTAGCAATGAATATTTTGAGGAAGATGTCAGAGTGGTTTGCTTTTCTTTTTTTCTCTGAAACTATAAACAGCGCAGGTATGTGTTTAGGTTCAGTGAAAATGCTTGGAAGGATCGAGGATTCAGCCGTAGCTCTGGATTTACGACTGTTATTGGCGGTAAGTTTGCAGTGTAAAAATGTCCCGGAATTCTTTCTTCCCGAGAAGCGGGCGCAAAATTTTATCAGAAAAGTGTCCTGAGAGTATAGCCCTTTCGCCTTTCAAATGTGTGTATAGGGGAGCCAGTCGAGATACCCGGTGGGAGTTAGCTCTTTCAGAGTAGATCCTCACGAAGAAATAAATAAAGCTTGAAATGTTGTTAATAAATAAACTTTTTTAATATTTAGCATTAAATGCCATCCAGTTTATGGAGAATTATGGGCCTGTTCAAGGGGTAGCAGATGTTAGCCGAGAGCGAAATTTGTCGTTTTCGCCATTTTTGTCTATGAAAAAGGCTATTTTCTTCAGTTTTGACTCAGTTGATGAGGGAGAGAGACCTGCTGTCTTACGCACAGTACCGTCGTTAGGTTCCATTCGGTTGTTACTCGATTTGTAAAAAGGCAAAAAAAGACGTTTTGATTTTGATAATTTCAAATCAAAAAAAGAACTGGTGGTCACTTTGAAAACTCCTAATTACTGTAATCAATTGTGCAGGATAATAAAGAGGAAAATTTGGATCCCTTGTCCTTCCTCCTGAAAACGAAAAAAAAAACTTGGATATTGCGGAGAGCTAAGCGAATGAATGAGCCAGATGTAACACCGGCAGCTAAGACAACAAAACAAAGTGGATATCAATGCCACCAGGGATGGTACGGCAAAATTCGTTCCAGATGGACAAACTTCATCGGAAGTGCTGGCGTGCTCCAGTAAAAGGTATTTCTTCATTTTTACTTTTTCCTCTGTCTAAGATCGTTGAAATGTGTTGTGACACTTTGACTAGTCATGCTAGTCCTGAACTGCATGCCCCCAGTTAGAACCTACCTAAAGGGAAAGAAGGACGTGTTAGTACCAACACCTGTCAGCTTCCGTCAAAATTCATTCATTATTCCTTTGACAAATTTTTGCTTTTTGTTATGATGTGCGCCTGTTGCAATGATATCGTGCTGACATCAACAAAAGGAAGTTACATTTCACGGTTTGTGAGTGACATGTTGTTAATATTTGATCATTCTGAAACTTGTTTTCACCAAGCGCGGTGTTGTACATATGTGTGCATGTTGCGTGTTGGTGAAGTTGCAAAGTTTGAAATAACAAGTTTGAGTGTGTGTACGCGAAGTGACAAAATATAAGCCATTTTACGGAAGCGTTTGGCACATCATCTTGGCCAGCAAGTACCACTGCTCCCTCGATGAAATTCGACTTCGCCAGTAGGACAGTTTCTTCATTGTCTCTACGATTTGTTCATTCGTTTCGATGGTAAACTGGTGCTGGTTCATGCCAGAGACTAACCAAAATCACATTCAGTTGTGGTGCTGAGTAGGAATGCATGGAACTTAATAGGCTGAACCATTATTTCTCACTTGATTAATTCTTATGTTTTATGCGCTTTTGTATATATGCAAATGCAAAAACGCATATTGCGACGACCTATGGTGCGTGTATGTGTGTGTGTGCATCTGTCCGAGTATTTCAGCTCGGTAACTAAGCAAGCTCCAGCGCTGAAATTTTGCTATTAGGTTCCCCGGCCGAATGCCACCCCAGGGAACCGGTACCAATCTTCAAGCGCACTTAGGCTCCGCGTACGAGCACATGAAAGTTTTGACGGAAATTCGGGAACCAGAAAAGCTGGAGCACTGAAATTTTAACGGAATCTTTCCTGTCCAAGTGCTGCATAGCTGTACTAGTAACTCCCTGAACTTCGAAGACAGTATGCCACAAATTCTAATTCTGAGTTTTTTTGTTTGTACGTATATTTTTGTGAGTAATCGTCATCATCATTATCCCTCATTCCTTTCCCTGCATCATACGAATATTTTAATAAATTTTCGTATAAACACCGTGCCTGTCTATAATGCCAAGATACTGAGACCGTCCAGATAGTCTATGTGGCGATCCGATATATGTGTGTTGGATTTGTTGTATCTGTACTGGGATGCATGATAGAGGGGAATATCCAGAATGACACGTGTTTCGATTCGTTGCCATTTCACCCCAGAATAACTTTATTCCAATACAGCTGATAACTCATGAATAATTGCTATGGCAAAAATACTATCTGATGGTCCTGACACTCGCCTCTCTACGTCCCTATTTCATTCTTCCGAAAAAAGTGCTATCGCAATCCTATTTTTTCCTCTCGTACGTTCCCGTTCTTACGTATAAGTATCATGCATGCCCCTCTGAAAATCAAAGTTTTCATTCGGTCATTGTGGCAGACAGTCTCTCTACGACCCACTCATTCATTTCGATGGTGAATTGGTACTTATGCGTTTCAGGAAGTCAAATTCTCTCTCAGCTTACTTCTAAGCAACCCGCAGAGGAGGCAACTGCCATACAAATCATGCTATGGTGAAATGAGGCACAAAAATGTTGTCATGCGCAATGCGACAGAAAGGGCGAAAACACATGTAATGCTGGTAGCATAAAATTATGTTACTGAAAAGAGCTACTAAATTAACATTCGAATTGTTTTAGTAGTATTAGCAGTCGTGCTTACCAGCTTTCAGAAACATTTGTTCAAGACTATCCAAGAAGCAGCATTTGATCACCTTGACAAAATTTGAATTTTTATTATTTTCCCTCGACGACTTTTCAGGTATTTTAGTGCCGATTTAAGGAGGTTCGGTCATTCATATTTTTGTCGGAAATGCGGGAGTTGTTTCCTCATTATTATGAGTTCGCATGTGTGTTTGCAATTGATCTTTCCAGCCGAAGTTCGAATTGCACTGATCGCATTTGAACGGCTTCTTGCCAACACAGTTTCGCATGTGTCTTCGCAAGTTTATTTTATAGTCGAAGCTCGAACTGCAGTGACCGCATCTGTACCGCTTCTCATCAAAAACAGCATGCATCCAACGTCTTCTCGGAAGTAGCAACTGGCTAACAGTGCTGTTGGCTGTGTCGTCCTGTGTCTGATTCTTCAACTCGATTGGGCTCGCTAGCTGTAAAATCGTTAAGAAGCAGCCGTCTTTCTTATTAATGCCAAATAGTAAGCTAAAGCTATATTCGATTTACCTTTCTTTTGCTCGAAAAGAAACTTCGCAATTCAAATCATTGGTGAAAGGGTTTTATCTACTACTAATTCATACTCATTTCCCAGTTTACTTCTTTCATAGTCTGCGACGAAGGCATAGTGGGGGATAACACCCCTATCGTACAGAAGATGGAGATTTTGATTTCATCAGTGAGACAACCAATCCCTCTAAGATTCGCATGTTTGATTCGGCGTTGTTTGGTGTTGACGTACCGGGAAGTCAAACCCGCCATTAGCTTCCTTCTAAGTGGCCCTCGAAAGAGGAATTTATTGGCAGCCTTAAGAGGATCATCGATAAAAGAACTTGCAAGTGCTTTCGCCTTTCATAGAGAGTACATACGGAGGAAAATTTGCTTGCTATTATTATTATTACGCTTTATTGTTACTTCTCTTATTCTTTCCACGCCTTTGTTTTCCAACTTGAGATACTGGATATCCTTTCCTTAATCGTTTATGCATCTTTCGAAAGAACTGGGACAAATTTTTAAATTGTGGTGAACCTCTTTCTCTATCATTGAGGGCTACGGGCTAGCTTTGTCCAAGTTTTCTCGTTTTTGACGTACTTGTGCATGTATAAGTGGAAATTAGAAGTAAATTGGCTTGGAGAACTGATGCTTTTCCGGTACCAAATGTTCTCGAAACAT